GGGTGGGCGGGAAGGATACCGCTTTCAGGGCCACACAGCTAGGTACCCGACCACTCCTGTCAATAGTAGCTGTATGACACTGGCAGCCATTCAGCCTCTCTGAACCTCAGTTCTGATCTCTAACGTGGAGACAATACTACCATACCTCACAGAGATCTAAGGTAACCACTGGCAAATACGCCTACTCTTTCAGATAAATTTATGTTGCCTTTATGCTGGGTAATTCGGACGCCTGAGATGAGATGTTTCCATAGATCAATTCACTCCGAGTGAATGACTTACTGATGGAGATCATGAACTCACAAAATTATGAAGTTCAAGGAGCTGAGCATCTTTACGCTTAAGAAGTCAAAATGGCAGATGTACGCCACCACCACCCCTACCCCCCAAAAGATAAAGTCACATGTAAATGCCTGGATCAGACTTAACAATCATAAATCCCAGTAAATCCAAATGGAGTAAGAAAGGAGAAAAGCATCCTGTGTGACAGCGCCAAAGGTCCACTGACAATGGACCTATCAGCACCTCCACCTCCAGTGCATTTCCAGGCAAACCCTCAGGTCATAAGAACATTTGGTTCTGAAATGTACCTTAAGTTAGAGCATCGCTCTCAACAGACTCATCTTTGTTTTTAGGGCTCTCAAGCCAGAGAGAGGACAAGTCAGGCTGCTTTGATGCACAATGGCTTTCTGGAGGCTTCAAGAAGATGCTGGTTGTGGGTGGGGAGGCAGCTGGGCCTATTTGGGGGTTAAGATGGACAACGATCCATTTGGAGTATTATGTCATTCTACTTGGCATGGAGCTTGGAAATGTGCTCTGTTTATGGGAAGAAATTTACAAGGACATACCAAAGGAAACCATTTTGTGGAGGTACAAAGGATAGGAGCTTAGGCTGAACTGCAGGGCAATTTTCAAATCAAATCAAATAAAAAGTTTACAGTTTCAAAACCCTAGAGGCTGCTCACATTCATCCAGATTCAGCTCATCACTAAAGGGCCCTCATCAGCCACCCGAATGTTCCTAAAAGGATGAAGCATGCCCTGTGGTTGCAGAAGTTCCAGACTCCAGACAGTAGAGGCACATGACTTCCTCTGTAGACTACAGACAGGTACAGAAGAAAGCAGGCACGTCAGACTTGGTGAGGAGAAAGGAGGTGGAGAGCAAAAGGCCAATGAGTAGAAGTTATTTATTGGGTCAAATAAACAGGTCTTAGACACACTAGATATGCTACCTTAGATGGAGAGACGCTACGGACTCTGGGGCTCAAAACCTAGCGACTAGGTGGACTGCATTACCCAGTGAAGATAGCAGAAAAGGGTAACTGAAAGGTACACATGTCAGGAGGTACGCCATGTGGTTTTCTTGAACTTGAGGGCCAAAGAAAATCCAAAGAGCTATGTTTCAGGAGAGGTCGGTCAGCAATGTTGATGTGTGGCCATCCACCAGGAAGTGATGGTTGAACCCAAGGGGGCAAAAGAATAGCCCTGAAGCAGATGCTGTGATGAGAAGTAGACCAGATGCAGCATCTATAATGCTTACATTTAAGGAATCCCTAGCAAGAGTACACAAAAGATGGGTAAAATGTCAATAAAGATACTAAAGTAGAAGGGAGGAGGAAACTGGTTAATCATGACACTTTATCAAGAGGTTTGTTCAGTTAATATGCATTTCTTTAGTACCCCAGTGTGCCAAGCATATACTAAAAACTGGGTAAGAAAGAAATCCACACATCCCATCCTCCAGAGATGACAACCTGTGGGGCACGTTCATTAATGGCATGCTCACATAAGCATCTAAGAAAATGTCAGATGGTGAACAGAGTTATGAAAAACGGATGTCCCATAGTACCCTAGGAATTTGACAGAGTGAGTGAGGACAGGAAAAATGGCAATGGGAGGGGGAATAGCAGATGGCATTATGGTTACACTGCTGGACTTCCACATGGTTGACCACAGTTCAAGTCCCAGACTTGGAGGCTTCAAACTCATGCCAGGTGTGTGTATACATGCGTGCCCAAAGCCCAAGAGGAGAATGGAGAAGGGATTGCGGCATGGTCACCTGCCGGGGGATGATTTCTCACTGTCTCTCTCTGTCTCTCTGGTGAACACATGTGCCCTACAGCAAAAATCTCTCCCAAATAAACCCCAAAAAACCAATGGGGCTACGATATAAAGACTGGGTACTGGAACCAGCAGATGATGTAATGGTTACGTTGCTGGACTCCTATGTAGTTGACTGTGGTTCAAATCCCGAACCCTGTGGCTTAAAACTCATGCTGGTATGTGTGCATGCATGCCCAAAATTCTGAGAGGAGACTGGACGAGAAGGCAAGAAGGGACTGTGGCATGGCCACACCCCTGGGGAGTGATTTCTCGTGTTCTGTCTTTCTATGTTCTGTCTCTCTTAAAAAAAAAAAAAAAAAAAGAATGGGTATTACAATGGTATGATGAAAAGGAGTACGGCAAATGTGAAGACCACAGCAAGAGAGCTTATTACCCTTTATACAGCATGCCTCCTATGTGCTGAATACCATCCAGGACAGAAACGAATCATAGAACGAAGCCCCTATCATCACATAAGCATGCATCCTAGAGGAGAGAACAGATTAGCACACAAGCAGATAAGTCACCTCAGACAGTGGCCAATGCTGTTTCACACAGACAGACAGTTTCAGACAGAAGAGTGGGAAGGATGAGACTGTGCGAGGGAGGGGCAGAGCTCCAAGTTTTGATGCCCATCCTGGTTGCTGGGTAAAGAATGGATTCTAGGTGGCACGGTGACTAAAGGGCAAGTCAGGAGTTATTGCAGTCATCTAGGAGAGAAGCCACTGGTGAGGCTCAGGGGAGACAGTGAGAAAGCAGACAGTGAGAAAACTGTAGGAACAGGATCGGCAACTCAGGAAACTTCTGGCTGGGTCTAGGCAGAGGGGGCTGCACTGTATGGGATGCTTAGATTCCAGAGGTAAGAGGGGTGGTAACAGCTCCGTGTCTGTGAGTCTGTAAACACAGAAGACAGAGGCTGTGTACGACAGAGGTTTGCTAGAGATGAAGTGGTCCAAAAATGAAGACAGTGTTAATAAGGAGTTGTTCTTATGGCTAAGAGAGTCGACCATGAAAAAGGTAGGCTCCGAATGAAAGAAGATGCTAAGCAATGTGTTAAGTCTTAAATATAGTGGGAAAATTTCCTAACAAGGTGTAGGAGAGGATAGTCAAAGGGACAACAGAGATTTCACAAAAGGGGAGGTGAGTTCCATTCTAGAAGAAGTTGGAGAAGAGGGTCAATCACAGTATCGTTGTCCCTGAAAGGTCATCCCTCCGAGTGCCATAGGTAAAGGGGTAACCTCAAGACAAAGTCAACCTGGAGTCCAGGCAAGGGGGAGAAGGCAGTACTACTCAGAAAGGCTGAGAGCGGGCTTTGTGGCACAGCAGTAATGAATGGCTCAAGAGCAAGCAGATGAACCCCACATGGTGACTGCAGTTGGGATCTCTGGCCCAGTCAGCCTAAAACACACTGGGCACACGCACATGTCTGAGATGTGACAGGCTGGAAGGTGAAAGGATGGGGATGGCGGCATGGCCAAGCCCAGAGGCGAGAGAGCCCCTCCCTCGTGCACACATGTGCTTTATTATGATAATGAGAGGCTGAGGCTGATGACTGAGGAAAAGCCTGATTGATTTAGCAATTAAGGGGTCAAGAAGACTAAATCTTGAAGGGAAAGGAAGGTTATTCCAAGTTTAGATGATGTTATACATTGTTAATGATAATTTAGTTGGGAAAAAAGCTCTTTCTCACCTCTAGAATCACTAAATGGTTTTTAAAGAGTCATGAGAATTTAAACAGTTAAGAAACCAAGCATACAACTCCAGGTCTTCAATAAGACATTTTTCATTCAACTCAACCACAACCACCCTGAGAGCATCCACTATGTTCCTGGGACTTCCCTTTAAAAGTCCAAATGAATTTTAAGAGCCTACTTTCATTAAGGACATAATGTGGCCCTCTGTCTGCTATTTGCATACGTAAAAGATACTTGGAACTGGGAAAAAAAATGAAGCTCTAGCATAAACTTTCTGTCAGAGTTCAACAAACTCTTTGATATTGTTACTAGCACAGATGACTGGAATATGCAAGGAAAGTCAACATAGCTAGTAATCATAGACACTCAGGCTCCGAGGACTATTCCCTTGCTATCTATTACACGCATCAACTGTATTAACTCCTACCTACATACACTGCTACACATACCATGTTAAAGATACAAAGTTAGGTGAGACTCCTGGCCTTGCCTACAAGTAGCTTATAATTTTAGGAAGCACAATAAGAAAAGTACAGCTAGGACTACAATACCAGGTTGTACTTGGACAGCAAGTATGATACTGGGGTGGTTTAAAAGGCAAGATTCAGCTTTTATTTTATGAGAGACATGGTACTGTTTTCTATTTAATGAATAGAAGAACTTCATCAAGGAGGAAGATAGAAAAAACATTCTAGGTAGCAGGAATAAGTCTCCAAAAGGTTGAGATAAAATAATGTGAGAAATTCCTAGATTGTTTTTTATTTTTTTAAAGAACTATTTAATTTTATTTATTCATGCATTCATTTTAATTTGACTAGAGACACAGAGAGAAAGAGAGGGAAAAGTGAGAAAGCAAGCCAATAGGTCCAGGACTCGAACTGTGGTTGGCCATGTGGAAGTGTCCAGCACTTTAACTACCACGCCACCTGCTCCTCCAGATTGGTTTTAATGCAGGAACTCAATTTATTCAACAATGATCCCACAGTGAGTGGCTGAAGGAGCCGGCCAGAGCACAGTCTGAAAAA